ATATATATATATATATATATATATATATGTGTGTGTGTGTGTGTGTGTGTGTGTGTAATAATTAATATATGTATGTGTGTATATAGGCCTATATATACACACACATATGTTTATGATTTTGGTGCTTTTTCTTATTTTTACTTGATTTTTTGTATTCCTGTTTTAATTTTGATTTCATTTTGACTTTATAATTCTGTACCTTTAGTTTATTTTTTTCAAAATTTAAGCATATAGTTAAAATATTTAGAAGTTAAGCTATTGGCTTTATTTACATTCCTGGTTTAATTTGTTGTGCTTTTCTTTATATGATTCGTTTTTGTATTTTAGTTGCTATTGTTGTCTGACTGCACCACACGAGTTGTGTGTGCCACCGTTCTTAAAAGGTGAAGTGTCAATTAAATAAATAAAAAAAATGATGGTTTTTGTTTTTTAGTCTGACCTTGCGCATATTCAAGAGCATTATGTAGACCTCAAAGAAAAGAAGTTCTACCCTGGACTCTGCAAGTACATGTCAGAAGGTCCGGTTTTCCCAATGGTCTGGGAAGGTCAGGATGTCGTTCGTCAAGGCCGAATACTTCTGGGGGAAACTGATCCAGTAAGTGTCCAGCTTTGCATGAGCGCATATTAGTTTTACTACTGTATTCCACATTTCTAAAGCAAGTTCCTTGATTGGTAAAATCTCTTAATTAAATTTTTTTTTTTTTAAATGGTCACTTCCCTGACTTTTTTATACCTTGTTTTGCGAACTCAAGATTATTTGGGGGGAGGGGAGGAATTAAAATAAAAGTTTGTATTCTTATCTAAGCAACTATTTGAAGAAAAGCTTTTATTTCTTTTTCGGAAATTTCCATTTTTAATTGGCCAGAAATGTGTATTTTTATTCAGAATCATTCGTGGGTGGCGGGTTCACTAAACAAGATATAAAAAATGTCTCGCCTTCTTGAAGAAGTGTCTTAATGGTAAAATTAATGGGTATTGCTTAGCTTGGCCTCCTAACTTCGTAGGTAGAGCACCTGAACTGTAAATTAGAGCATTTTGGGTGGTTCAAATCCAGATTTTATTTTACAACTGTATTTCATATTAAGAGAAAAAAAACCTTGGTCTTTTTCAGTTGAAGTCAAAACCAGGAACCATCCGTGGAGACTTCTGTATATGCATCGGACGCAACATCTGCCATGGTTCGGACAGCGTGGATAGTGCAAAGAAGGAGATCAGCCATTGGTTCAAGAAAACCGAACTCGTTGATTGGGGCCCAACCGAAAATACCTGGATCTACGAATAGATATTTCTGTCGAATCTGTCTTGAGAATTTAAAGATGGCATGGTTGTGTGAATCAATCTATGGACACCATTTGTCCATATATGGGCATGATATTACATTATATTGGCATATGACAATGCCCTTGTAATTATGGAATTTGTTACAATAATGCTAAAGAATTACAATAAATTAATCATGAGTAAAGATTGAAAACTCAGCTCCTTGTTTTTTGTTTTTTTTCACTTTCTATTATGATTTTTTGGAATGTGCATAAAGGCTGTATATGCTGTACCAGCCTATAGTGGGTTTTGCCACTCTAAAACTTTAAATGACGCATACTACCACATAAGTTACTAATAAAAGTCCGATTAATTTTTTTCAATAAATTACTGTTTTAAAACAGAAATCTTGCTGGTAGGAATCAAAGACAGTATCAATGGTGAATTTGTGATTAAATGCCAAAACTTCCCGACCAGTTTACCGATATTGAAAAAGATGATGTAAAGATTGACTAATTGATGGTCATTAATTAATTGGCAACGACAATGTTAAAGATAACTTATTGAAATAATTAACAGACTCCATAACAACGTCAACCCCATGTACAGTACACTACTTTCTTTGCATAAAACTTTGAATTGGCTAGTAAGAATTTTTGTAGTAAGCCTACTGTGAAAAATATCTAATTCTGGGCATACACCGCATGCGAAGAATGCATCTCCGTTAGCGCATGACACTGTCACAGCCACAGTCAAAAATGGTTCGTTTTTAAAAATGATCCGTTGCATGTCTTGTCACATTGCCTTCAGTGACAGGAAGCGGTGGTGCCAGAAATTTGCCGACTAGAGCCTCGGTCGACAGCCCGGAATAAAAAATTCCTAGTAGGTTCAAGGGAGAGTTGTTATGGCTTAGTATGGTACAAAATGAGCACAATTAAGGATTGACAATCAAAATAACGTTATTTGGATAAGCAATATGCCCCCCCCCCCAGCAACAACCACTAATGAGACAACCCCAACCAACTGGCGAGTTAAAAACTCTTCTCCCTTAAATGAGGATTTCAGTGCTTAAACTGAATGTTTCCAAACATTCTGGTATTCAGTCAACCAAGGCAAGTTCCACTACTTTAGTACAAGAAAAAATACACAACATAAAATATATTTTGTATCCCCTTTATTGAAAGAGCCAAACTATGTTACCTTAAACCTATTTTCCACTAGGCAAATTTATTTGCGCCAATCAACAGCATCGGTTCGCTTCCTGATTGGTTGCGCATTTTTTTCACTAGCAAAAGAAAAATAGAAATGTGAATGCGCATGAAACAATTGCTTTCCATTCGCACAAATCAATTCCAAGTAGAAAACGGGCTTTAGCACGAAATTTAATTTCTTAGGTTTTTTTGGTTTTTTTTCAATTCCTTGAGTTTGTCCATGTAGCTTTTGTATTTTTGGCTTTCCTTTGCAATTTGCGCCTCCAGCGTGTCCGCCAGACCAACGTAAACATCAAAAGGGGTCTATAGCAAGGAAAGTTACTTGCAGTCAAAACACAGAAAGGTGCACACATTTTCTGGGAATCACGGGTAAAGAAGAATGCATATTATGAGCCCATATCATTAAATTCAATAATAAAATTAATCATCTAAATGTGTAAGGAAATGTGATATTTTGCAGTGCAACCCTAATGGGAAAAGTTAAAACATCAATCAGTTCTTCGAATAGACCACTAAGCATATATATAATGGATTTATCCTTCCTATAACTGGTTAGAAAAAACACACCATAAAATTCCAGTTGATACATAATATAAAATATTGGAAGGTATTTTCTCCACGGAGTTGCTATATTATTTTATATCAAATTCTCTGTCATAAAATATGTTTCTTTATAAGAGACTTCAAAATTTGAGGGAAAAAATACAAGAGGTACTATTATCCATCATTTTGTTATATAAATATCTTCAAATATTTTTTAACAAAGTTTAACAACCAACTAAGTGGTCAACACTTTCACAAGTGTACAAGCAATACACTAGCAGAGAGAGAGTACACAAATTTGTGCACTTTTACATATGCATAAAAGTTTTGATTCAAAATAACATGCAATATGTAAAATAATGGTAAAATTATAATGTAACCATGGATATAACATTCATAGATGACTTCACAAAAAAATGGAAAATGGTTTTGTAGAATCAACATTGTTTGTATACTTTCAGATGAGAGAAATGAGGGTACCGAAAAAGAATACTGTTTGTACATTTGTAAAAACTGTAAACAACCCCTAAAGTTGAATTTATCAACATAAATTACCAAGCATATATTATTATTATTTACCTAATTTGCATAGATCTCCACATATGTGTATCTAACACAGCATCCAATATGGTCAAATGTAATGTCTAAAACAATACAGTGCATTACTTATATATCTATATCAAAAAATTCCCCTGATACCACCTCTAATAAAGTATAATATATCTAGTACTGTAACAGCAATGTAAAGAAATAAAGCACCTAATGAATAGACCTATTTGGCCCTATAAGCCATTTTGTATCAAGGTTTTTATTTGTTTTTAATCTTTTAATATAAAATTGTTTAACAAATCTGCTCAATCAAACAAAACTGATTATTTTGAGAAATTAATGTTCTATGACCAAGTCTATTTACAAGGCTTGACGGAGTGGAGTTCATTCTGTTATGAGAAAAATTGTGAAGGTTTTTTTCCTGGATCGAACCCAGAACTTTGAGTTTGGAAGACGAGCATCTTAACTACAAAAAAACCACAATAATAATGATAGAAAAGGAAAAAAAAACTCACAAAATATGGAATGGGAGAAAAAGTATGCTAAATATGGTTAGAACCATGCAGCATTTCTAATTGCACTAAAACCAATTACACTTGAAATGACCTTAAACCCTAAGAGCACCCTCTATACACATCTATATTAATTGGCAGCCATGTTTAGCTGGCATTTATTGTGTTGGTATAAGTGAAACTAGAGTACACAGACGCCACACAAACATTGGATGATGATGATGATTATTAATGCGATAATAATGATGATGATGGTGTTAATGATGATGGCAGTAATGATAATGATGACTGACTGTTGGATCTCTGTGACTAATATAAAATAAAAACTAATATTAATAATAAATATTTATTTATTTATTGTGCACAGAAAGTACACATTGTTACAATGGCAACAAAAAAACTGGTACGTTTGAGCAAAACCAAGAAAACACATAGAATACAAAGCTATAAGAATTCCATACAATTCAGCACAAAAGTAACATATGTAGTAACAAAATAACAATAATTTTAATAAGTATATAATAAAAATAATCATAGTTACAACAACAATAAATTAACAGAAATAACAAAAACAGCAAATATATGTGGCAAAGACAAGCCAAACCAGTCACTCGTCGCAAAAACCGATTTTGAGTTATTAATACAGTGTTAGAGAGTAAAATAATAGCTATAAAATGGTAAAAAAATCATTCAAATCGGACATTTCCTTATGAAGTTACAAGCCTTTAAACACACAGCTGTTTAAAGAGCAATATATGAGAAATCAGCCTTCAAAGTTTATGATTTCAGGCATTTCTCATGCAGAAACTATCTTTAAATCCTTAAAAAGTGTTGTTTTAACATTGAAAATGGGGAAAATATCAGCATAGGATTGTGTGTATATATATATAGGTTAGTTTAGTGCAATAAAACAGATTTTTTTAAATTTGACATTTTAGCATGTTTTGGCCATTTTCTCTGAAACACGATTTGCGACGAGTGACTGGTTTGGCTTGTCTTTGCCACATATAACAATGACAACAATAGTAATATATTTTTATAACAAACAAGTTCTTGTAATTTCAAAAGCTCTGATGAGGGCAGTGAAGTGTGTTGGCCCTAATGGCTGCCCATACAAAAAAGATCTATTAATCAATTAAACAATCAATCAAACAATCAGCCGAGTATTCCTAGACCTCCTTCAAACTGACATAACTATGGCTCGTTGGTCTAGTGGCATGAATGTAGCTTAGGATGTGAGAGGTACCTGGTTCAAATCCTGAATGAGCCTGTATTTTTCTTTCTCTAAAAACGAAAAAAAAATCTATCAGTCAGCCGAGTAATCCTAGAGCTTCTTCAGAATTGCACAGTAACTATGGCTCGTTGGTCTACGGGCATGAGTGTAGTTCAGAGTATGACACATATTAACTATGGGTTGTTGGTCTAGAGGCATGAATGTAGGTTAGGGTGTGAGAGGAGCCAGTTCTATTTTTCTTTTTTCTCTAAAAAATGAAAAATTCAATCTGCCATGAAAAATTCAATCTGCCATAAAAAAAAAAAACAATGAAAAAAGGAGTCAATCAGAAAAAAAAACACAGTCACTCAGCCACGAAAAAAGCAGTCAATCAGCAAGAAACAACACAATAAGCAGGGTATTCCAGGAGCTTCTCATCAGAGCTAAAAACAATTTACCAAAAAGATGTTCATTTAGAAAAAAGCCATCACTTAAATATTACCAGACCAAAACTAAATGATCTAGGTAAAAAAAAATAATAATAAAAACCCCGCAATATGCCTAAAAGAATAGAAATGATATGCCTAATGATGTCATAACTTTGTTAATATCAAATTTTACTCTTCTTTCTTCAACTCTGTACTTTTCTCTTTGTGGCCACCTCCTCTATCCTCTTTCACCTCTCTTTGCTCAATTTCCTTCCTTGTTTTTAGCTGTTCCAGTTTCTGAACTGCCTCCTCATGTTTCAGTCCTTCAATTTGTTGATCACACTCCCCATCTTGTGAGTCTAAAGAGCCTTGTTTTGACAACTGTCCGTTTCTACTCTGCGCTTCAAGTTCTTCCAGTTTCTTAAGAAGTTTTGGGTCTCTCAGCTCTGGACAAAGTTCCAACAACACCATTTCAAACAAGACCTACAGGTAGAATTGAACAAATCTTGTTTAGATGCAAGATTGGTAAATAAATAATAAATTAATACAATTTAAACATGGCTTAAGTCTTGTTATGAGGACTAAGAAATGTACATGTGGCAAAGGCAAGCCAAACCAGTCACTCGTCAGAATTCGTGTTTCAGAGATAATGGCCAAAACATGCTGGAATATCAAATTTTTTGAAATCTATTTTATTACACTATACTAACCTTTATATATCTATACATCATCCTATGATGTTATTTTCCCCATTTTCAATGTTAAAAAAAAAAAAATTTTAACGATTTGGTGATGGTCTCTGCCGGAGAAATGCCCGAAATCATAAATCAAATATTGTTCTTTAAACAAATCTGTTTAAATGCTTGCAACTTCATAAGAAAATGTCCACTTTAAATGATTCTTTTACTATTTTATTGCTCTCATTTTACGGTTTAACGCTGTATTAATAACTAAATATCAATTTTTATGACCAGTGACTAGTTTTGCTTGGCGTTGCCACGTATGTCTTTAGTTATTTTGGCTTTCATTATATTACTTACGTAAAACAAATGCTTGTTTGTCAGTTCATCCTGAAAAGCTTCAAATATTTTAGCAAATCCAAGTCGACTATTTTGGCCTCCAACCGTGTTCTGAAGTATATCTATATAGAGAATATAAGTAAAAGATGATTATTTACGATACACTGTTACGGTTACTCTTCAGAAACCAAATGGCTGTCACCGTCAGGATCAATTGACAAAATCACTGACGGCATTGTTTACAGTGGTGGATTTAAAGGTGGGTGGGGTGGGGGGGTAGGCAGCCGGTCTGGAGGCTCCCTCTATACTTTTCAAAATTGTAAGATTAGAGAAAAAAGAAAATTACATTCAAAATTTGAGAATGCCATTTCCGGCTTTCCAGGTGACATAATTGTAAATTTCAGCCCCAACCATGGTGGGGTCCCAACCATGGTGGGGCTAAGGTGGTATAGACCCTCCATCTGTCAATGTCCCTTCCTGGGCCCCTTTATTTCAAATTCCTTCCTGGATCTCCTACTGCTGTACTTTCAGATCCAAGATTTACCACTATGCTACATAAATGTATTTCAATCATTTTATTTTTAACAATATACTTTAAAGGAGAATATAGAATATTGAGTATTAAATAAGAATCAGAAGAGAAAGGAAGAGAATGGGAAGAACTTACCTGGGATATTTTTTAGAAATCGTTCCTTTGCCTCTTGTTTGATTTGCTGATCCTCAGCTTTTGTCTTTGGATCAAGCATCTGAACGAACTTTCCTTCCGGCCACATGGCATTGCGAAAATAATGAACGTAGTAAATAATCATCGGCTCTGAGAACAGCCAGTCAACAGTGGACCTGATTTCTCTGTTTGAAAACGGACGAAACATTTAATTGATTTCAGGTTTATCTAAAGCCCTGACCTGAATATCACATTTTATTTGACGAAAACATGTGACACGCCTTAATAGGGTCATGATGACATCACATAATAACCAAATAGAGGCACATTATGACTATATATGGATCATATAACATTTTTTTGTCAAGTGGAGTGAAGAAAATTAAAAATTAAAATTCAATACTTGAAGTACATATTTCAGTTAATAGTTTTTAATAGTAAATATTTTCCCTCCTAAATTAAGCTTTGTCCAAATAATCAAATTTTCTCTGACAAGAAACTGTTGTATGCCCATATATAGTCATGATGTGCCTATATATGGTCATGATGTACCTATATATGGGCATGATGTGATGTTATAATGACCATATTTGGGCATGTCACATAAATTTGATAGTCTGGCTTTAGATACATAACAATGTTCCTAATATTCCTATCAGATGAAACAAAATATAATTGATGAACTTACCTATTTATTGTTCCACCAAACGTAGCTTGTACAAAAACAATAAGAGTTCGACGTAACCACTTAAACATTCCCCTCAACTCGAAGACCTCCTCTATCAAAGAATACATCGGTTTTGCAATGGAGTCCCGTACTTCAGCAGGGCTGCAAAAAACATTACATTATATTATTATAAAAATAATCTGATTAAATTTATTTGTATTAAATTAATGACTCTGCACTTAAAAATTGGGGAAAAAAATTGTTTTTAAGCACTGGAATTACCACTGGGCATTAAAAATTTCAAAAAAAAAAAAATTATGATCAAGTAGCTAAAAATCACCTTATTGCTCAAGTAGCTAAAAATCACCTTATTTTTTCTGATGTATCTCCCCTATTCCCCCCTATTCTTACCCCCCCCCCCCACACCATGTAAAGACTCCTAAATATGCCACTGGTTATGGACCATCAAGTTTCACAAATGATTAGACTTCTGCATCCCAGGCCTCATACAGAGATTGATTTAACAAGCATCAGGGTTACAAACAATTAATACAAACTCACCTTTCATCCTCAGTGTCTACATCATCAGTGGTTCTTTCAGGCTCTGGCGTGTTCTTGAAAATACCAGAAAATGAAAAACCAGCCTTCTTCTCCTTCCTATCAAGAAAATTATATGTAATTGCAAATGCAGTTTTATCATTATTAATATTCGACCAAATAAAATAAGTTGTGGGTAGGTGGAAAAAGTTTTTTTTTTTAATTAATTTTTTTTTTAAATACTCATCAGATGGAATAAAAATAACCCACAGAGGCCTAGAATGGCAATATCTTACATCAGACAACAACTTTAGACTAATATGTAGGGCATCTGGCAAAAAATAAAAATAAATTCACTCACATTTTTTTTTTATTTTTGAAGAAAAAAGCTAAAAAAAAACTTTTTTAAAGTCTTTTTTGTTTTTCCGCCCCTATTTTTTCCCAGTGAATTAGGGACGGGTGAAGGATGGCAAACAAACAATTTTTTTTTTTGGCCTTATTATAATGTGCAGACTTAAAGATGAAAAAGAAATGTTAACAGGTAAATTATAATTATTATAATTAATAATTAAAATAAAAATAAATATAAATAATAAATATAATAATTATTATTATTAAATAATAATATTAATAATTAATAATAATATTAATATTATTTAATTAAATTAATTATTTTTTTTTAATAAATTTATATTTAATCATGTTAGTTTGGGTTTGGTTTATAACCTTGCAAGATCCTTAAAGCCAGGCAATCACTGCACCCCCACAGTTGTGGGCCGACGCGATCCCTCGTAACTTTAGACATCTCATGGTCACTTTTCATCATTTGGTACGTGTAAAGCACATATAGGCAACTCTACTGTATCATGTCCTACGTATTATTTAACTGATGACTTTGCAAGCAAAATTCAAACATGTGAAAATAAAATAGTAAAAGGAATTAAAGAAAACATCTTACTCTTCAGACGCGTTTTGAATTGGTGTTGGAGAAGGAACAAGGAATCTATACACAGCTTCACTATGCTTTAAAGTGTCATCTTTAAGAATAGACTTCACAAAAAGAAAAAAAATAAAATTGGTAAATATCAACAAACACAAAAGTACAATAAGCATATGAATTACTAATTCATTTTGAAGGAAATAAACAAGCTGTTAAATATAATACATTTTGAAAAATAATACCTAAGAGAAATAACTATATGAATATTTATGAAAATCAAGATAATATATGCATCCATAAGAAAACAAATGTATATTCATAGCAAGTGTAATAAATAAGGAAATAAAAAATTTAATAAAATAATTAAATAATGTAATAAATCAATCAACCTATAAGTATTTATATAGCACCAATACCCAAGACAGAATACACAGTTGCAAAATGACTTGTTTTTTTCAAAGTATGATTATTTTATTACTCTTGAAAATCCATCATGACTCTCAACAATTCAAAATTCCTGAATTATGTAGAATTTTGAAATCGTTCCTGGTCCATTTTAAACCTCTCCTATCCCGCTTAAATAATTCAGGAATCGTCCGTGGAACCAGACAACATAACTTGAACCTTATGAACCACTTACAGTCAGGTAGTCTTGTAGTTGGGCTTTGCTTGTTTCTAAGAACTCCTTGTCAAGATTTTTGAAAGGTCGTCTGCTCATCTGCGGAAGTTCAAGTTTTGCCAGTAACTTGCTGCACTATATGAAATATGATAATAAAATTAATATAAAAAATAATAAAAATATTAATAATAAAGGAAATTTTGCTTAAAAGAGAACTAGCAAAATGATGTTTTGTTCTAGAGAGGATTTTTGATATGCCATTAATAATTAATCAACCTTAAAATCGTTCTTTGGCTATTTTTTAATGAAGTTATAGGCGATTACATACGATTTTACCATGACGTCACTGGCGAAAAAGTGAACGACTTACGGTCCCTGCGTACTCACATCTTTAATCCTTTTATGCAGGGTATGGAAGTCGTTGAGTCGTCTGGAGACCACCCAGCCATGTATGGGAATATTAGGGTCAATCGGATGTACCACTATCACATAGTACGGCAGATTCTTCTCACCATCCTCCATTTGCTGTGAAAAGAAGGAACATGTTTCAGTTGAGATTGTGTGGTTAAAAAAGTTTGCAAAACAAGGTATAAAAAAAGCCTCACCGGCATTCTTTGTAGGAAAAATTCAAAATTGAGTTTTTTGGTGTTTTTAAATTCTGCAATAGGCTTCTGTAAAACAGTGTTTATTTGATGAAAATTGGTTCAGTATTACCAAAGTTATGAATAATTATTTCATTAGATTTGTATTTTTAAAATAATTTTAATATACTTTTCAGTTAGATTTAGTGATTAATGTTTTATAGGAATGTTCTTCAATATATCATCTTTATAAAATGCAAAAACATGAAAATTTTAAAAATTCAGATTCTTAAATGTTTTAGAAATTG